ACTCATGACAAGAGGCACCATTGTTTGTCTTTTTAAAACCTTTTCATTTTAGTTTAATTTTGTTTCTTTAAAGTTGGATTATGAATTAACATTCATTTTCTGATATAAAAAGAAATAAAACAGGTAATATTTATAACAAGTGATTAGTAATCATTTAAAAATTTTGTTTTATCCAAATGCTATTCTTTGCTTTAGAGAACAGTTTTCAGACACAGCCTATAATTTTTATATAGATTATTTTGGTCCTAATCATTTGCAGATGAGTGCTAACAAGTTTGGGGAGTAAGATTAGTATTAGTTCCATCTGTCTCAACATAGGTTTCAATACAACTTACAGATAGTCCAACTAATCTGAGGGCAATTTACCAAGACCCTTAGTGGATACCTGAAATTCAACCACAAATAGTACTACGTCCTATCTGAACAGATTTTTCCTACCATACATTGCTGAAATAATTTATTACATAGGTCCAGTAAGAGATTGACAAGTGTAACTAGTCATAAAACTATAATAAAAATTACATGAATATTATCTTTTTGAAATATACCTGTATTATTGTATTCTTTGGGTGTTTTTTATTGTGCCAGGCCTAGGGTTTGAGCTTAGGACCTGGGAGCTATCTCCAAGTGTTTTTGGTAGTTAAAGGTAAATCTCATGGACTTTGCTGCCCAGGCTGGCTTTGAACTGCAGTCCTCAGATCTTAGCCTCCTGAGTACTTAGGATTACAGGCATGAGCCCCTAGTGCCCAGCTGTGCTTTTTTCCCCCCTGGTGATGCAAGATAAAATACCTATATGAGTTGAAGAGAGGCATGTGAGGTCAGTGACTAGGCAGTATGACATGGAAACCAGCACTTGATATCACCATAGTTGATAATACCAATCAGCCTGATTAACCAAAAATGCTATAAGTGAATAATAAGCATGTAGTTTGGTTATGCTGGACAAAGAATTCAGTGATGTATGAAATCGTACACTTAAGCAATTTTAAAAAATGTATGAGGGGATGGGAAGTTGGCTCAGTGGTAGAGTGCTTGCCTGGCATGCATGAGGCCCTGGGTTTGATTCCTCAGCACACATAAGCAGAAAAAAGCCAGAAGTGGTGCTGTGGCTCAAGTGGTAGAGTGCTAGCCTTGAGCTGAAAGGCTGAGGGACAGCGCCCAGGCTCTGAGTTCAGGCCCCACAACTGACCAAAAAAAAAAAAGTATGAATTTTTTGTTCCTGGAATTTCCTGGAGTAGTTGAGCACAGATAACTGAAACTTCTAGAAGCAAAATCAGTAAGAAGTGAGAAGCTACAAAAATTAATTTTTCATTTTCACTTAGACTTTTTTGGGGGAGAGGGTGTTGGTTGTGGGGCTTGAACTCTTGGCCTGGAGGCTGTCCCTGAGCACAGAAGCTCAAGGGGAGCGCTCTATGTGAGCTAAAGTGTCACTTCCGGTTTTTGGTGGTGAATTGGAGATAAGAGTCTCAAGGACTTTTCCTACTCAAGCTGGTTGGTGTTGAACAGCCATCCTCAGATCTGACCTTCCTGAGTAGCAAGGATTACAGGTATGAGCCACTGATGCCTGGCTCAGACTATCTTTTGACGCATTTTTTTCTCAACCTATTTTCATATAGCAGATCACGTGTGCCAGGTCCACAATTACACTATTCCTTCATTTTATGTGTATTATCAACTTTAAAACTGCCTTAGTGAAGACTAAACACGTAACCTATTTTACCTTCCAAGATATCTTTTCCACATATTTTTGAAGGCTCAAAAGGAAAATACCCTATTTAGAGACTTGGAGGATCCCAAGCAGAAAAATCCACCAGACCACCATCTCAAAAAACAACAAAAACAAAGCTGGGCTGGAGGTGTGACTAGCATGCCAGATGAGCTAGCTCAGGACCTTAGTTCAAATGTTAGTGCCACTAAGGGAGAAAGGGGAGGGGGGAAAAACCCTATATTGTATAAGAGGAAAGTTAAGATTTTCTTCTCACTTAAGTCCTGGGGCTTGAATTCAGAGCCTGGGTACTGTCCCTGAGCTTTTGTAAAATCTCAAGGCCAGCACTCTACCACTTGTAACACACCTCCCCCCACCTTTTTTTGGGGGGGGGGTTCTGGTTGTGGGGCCTGAACTCTGGTCCTGGGCGCTGTCCCTCAGCTCTTCAGCTCAAGGCTAGCACTCTACCACTTGAGCCACAGCACCACTTCCAGCTTTTTTTTCTTTTTTTGCTTATGTGGTGCTGAGGAATCGAACCCAGGGCCTCAGGCATGCAAGGCAAGCGCTCTACCACTGAGCCACCTTCCCAGCCCCCCCGCCCTTTTTTTAATGGTTAACTAGACAGACTTTTCTGCCCTAGTTGGCTTCCAACTGTGACCCTTAGATCTCAGCCTCCCGAGTAGCTAGGATTATGAGCCACCAGTCCTTGGCCCAAAGAATAATTTCTGTAATCTAACCTATGTTGGTTTATCAACTACTGAAAGCTTTTGTTTGAATCTAAGTTAGGTGAAAAAAACTTGTCTGATTTCTCATTCTTCATGTTTTTCTGTTACAACTGTCTGTACATTTTCCTAGGCTTTAATACTGTTTCAGGTATCATAACTGGGGGGGGGGAAGGTTCTAGAAATAGGATTGTAAAATAGTGTAGAATATAAAACAAACTTCACATTCTTAACCTATGAACACACTAAAAATTGTTTTTATTATTTTGCTACTGAGTTTAAAATGTAATCTTATAGTATGACAATTTGTCACATTTTTCACCTACTTTTTCTAAACAGAAAAAAATTTTTTTTTGGTCAGTCATGGGGCTTGAACTCGGCCTGGGTGCTGTCCCTCAGCTCTTCAGCTCAACAGTGAGCACTCTACCACTTGAGCTACAGCGCCACTTCTGGTTTTCTGGTGGTTAATTGGAGGTAAGAGTCTCATGGACTTTTCTGCCTGGGCTGGCTTTGAACTATGATCCTCAGATCTCAGCCTCCTGAATAGCTAGGATTACAGGCATGAGCCACCAGTGCCCAGCTTCAAAAATATTTTTTATATTACTTTTGCAGAAAAAGAACAGGCAAATGCCCAACAAGGTAAAGTTTTTACCCTTGTCGGATTTAATCATCTGGCAATTCATATTCCTTAATCTCCATTTTCTAAAAAATAACCACTATCAATAATTCTATTCCTGGAAGTGGCGCTGTAGCTCAAGTGGTAGAGCGCTCGCCTTGAGCTGAAGAGCTTAGGGACAGCGCCCAGGCCCAGAGTTCAAGCCCCACAACTGCCAAAAAAAAAAAAAATAATAATTCTATTCCTTTGGGGTTTTTTTCTATACTGTGTATTCTACATGCTTAATTCTATTGTTTAATTCTATACATTACTTGCTTTCTTTCAAAAGTACAATAAACATTCTTAAGATGTATTAAGTTAGTTAATCTTGAAAATATGCCTAAGCATTTTGTGGTATTTTTTGTGCAGGTGCTAAAGTTTGAACTCAGGGCCTGGGTGATGTCCCTGAGCATTTTTTGCTCAAGGCTAGTGCTCTACCACTTGAGCCACAGCTCCACATCTAGCTTTTTTAGTGAATTAGAGGTAAAGTCTCAGACTTCCTTGCCTAGGCTGGCTTTAAAACCACAGTCCTCAGCCTCGAGTAGCTAGGATTACAAGCGTGAGCCACTGCAACCAGCTTTAAAGGAATTTTTATAATGAGTAGCTGTCAAGGAAGATGGGAGACTGAATCTGGTATGTAAAACTACCTTGACGCCTTCCTTTTTAAGAAAGCTTTTAAGATGAAAATTCTGAGAGTCTGCAAATCAAGGATACTATTTTTATCACTTTCAATACTTTTTATTTATATATAATTGTGAAAATACCATACAGGGAAGTGGTGCTGTGGCTCAAGCATTAGAGCGCTCACCTTGAGCTGAAGAGCACAGGGACAGCGCCCAAGCCCAGAGTTCAAACCCCACGACAGACAAAAGAAAATACCGTACAGAGGGGTTACAATTACATGGGCAAGGTAATGAGTACATTTCTTTTTTTGGTCGGTCGTGGGGCTTGAACTCTGGGCTTGGGCGCTGTCCCTCAGCTCTTCAGCTCAAGGCAAGTGCTCTACTGCTTGAGCCACAGAGCCACGTCCGGTTTTCTAGTGGTTTATTGGAGATAAGAGTCTCACAGACTTTTCTGCCCGGGCTAGCTTTGAACTGAGATCCTCAGATCTCAGCCTCCCGAGTAGCTAGGATTACAGGCATGAGCCACCGGTGTCTGGCTATGAGTACATTTCTTATCAAGCATTGTTGCCTCCTCCTTTGTTTCACCTTCCCATCCCCCATTTTCTTTTTTGTTTTTGTTTTTTTTGGGGGGGTCCGGTCATTGGCCTGAACTCTGGGTCTGGGCGCTGTCCCTCAGCTCTTCAGCTCAAGGCTAGTGCTCTACCACTTGAACCACAACACCACTTCCGGCTTTTTTCCTTTTTGCTTATGTGGTGCTGGGGAATCGAACCCAGGGCCTCATGCATGCAAGGCAAGCGCTCTTCCACTGAGCCACCTTCCCAGCCGTAAAGTTCATTTTCGACATAACATCTTGTACATCTCATTGGTGCAATAGGTCTACCTGTACCCCTATTTAAACAATTTGTTTTTTCCCTTCCCCTCCACAAATTATACCAACATCAAATGCAGTGAAAAAAGGAGTTATACGTGGGGGAGGGACATACAAAGCAAGAAAGAAATCATCTTATAAATATGTTAGACACAATAGCAAGAAAGAAAAAACATTTGAGTCTTTAACTTGGGGTTCATTTCGCTTAACATCAATTTATCTGACCATTTCTGCTTGTCTCAGACATATACTAGTTATTGCAGATAAGGGAAAGCATGGGACCTATGTTTCTTTGGGCCTGGCTTAGTTCACTTAATAGTTTTTCCAAGTCTTTCCATTTCCTAACAAATGTGGCAATTTCATTCTTTCTGATGGAGGCAAAGAATTCCATTATTTTTTCCACTAATAATTGTTTTTGTGTGTGCCAGTCCTGGGGCTTGAACTCATGGTGTGGTCACTGTCCCTGAGGTTTTGTGATCAAGGCTAGTGCTCTATCATTTGAGGGACAGCTCTATTCTCAGCTTTTGGGGAGAGAAAGAGGCAAGAGTCCCATGGAATCTCCTACCTGGATCAAGTACTAACTCCTAACTACTAAATGTATTTTAAACATTAACCCAGTAAGTTTTAATTAAAGTTCAGTATTATAGGATCATGTCCTGTTGTCTTCACAAATGTGAGAAAGTCTTCAGGACTCAGTCCCATGGTTGCACTGTTAGTCATTGGGTGAAAGTACACCTTTTCATGTCCACCTTCCAGAAAAGCAGAATCCAAAACAAATTTCACATCTCCATCATCACAGAAGAGTGCTAGGGGCGTAGCACAACCTTGACCAACTTTGAGTTTTTCTAGCATGGCCGTTTCATCAGCAAACCGCAGATTTCCACTCCCAACACCTAACTGCTTGGCAAGATCATTTAAATTAATTTGTCGATCATGAAGAACTGTCACCAGCCAATAGCATTTTTTCTTTTTGTCTTTAAGAAATAGGTTCTTACTATGAGCTCCTTTCAAATGTTGGATATGAGGCATCATTTCTTCAACTGTAAACACCTATAAAAATATCACAAGATGAGTTTAGAAGCAGTGTACAACCACACATTTGTATGTATTTTGTTTGCTAGATAATAAGAGCAAGATGAAATCATACTTAGCCCATTACTAAATATATTAAAAAAAAAAAAAAAAAACCTTTGCCATCAGTTTCTGATCTCAGTTTCTTTCAGTGCAGGTTTTTACTGCTGTGTACAAACCATGGCGTCACATTCCTGGAAAACTTACGTTTTTACATTTCAAACTTTTAATGTTAAAAGTATACAGTCAGTCCTTCGATTCCTATGGTTTTCTAGTAATTCAAACCATATGGCAACATTCACTCCACAGATTTGTAACCACACTGAGGGTGAGAAGACAGTAAAACCGGGACTTACACGTTAAAAATATAATTCTAGCAACGGTTTGAGGGGCTCAGCCATGTCTACAGCAGTAGTTAGGCCTCGAGTTCAAACACCAGTAGTAACAAAAAAAAGGCAGTAAAAATGAAGGGAATACGGTTTTAATGTTATACCGTAGAGGTGAGGAAAGCTAAGTGCGTTTGCATGTGACTCTATGTAAGACGCAGCGATGTGCATTCGGTGGTGAGGGGTAGGGGTGTTAGTGGGGCGCGCTGCAAAGCCCCCAGAAGCACAAGAGCAAACCTGGGGCGCCGCATTCATGGCAGCCACGCCAACAGGCTTCCGCTGAGCAACCCGCCTACCCGAGGTGTGCGTGACACCGCACCGGCGTGACGGCCTGGCTCTCCACCCGCAGCCTCGGGCCCGTCCGGCAGCGGCGCCCTGCCGGCCAGCGCCTGCGCAGCGGCCACCCCGCGGGCGACACCCTCACCTCGGGGTGCTCCACGACCTCCGTGCGGATGGCGAGGGCGCCCAGCCGCTGCTCCAGCGCCGCCCGTAGCTCCGTGCCCGACATGCCTCCGCCCCGCCACGCCACGCCACGCCACGCCACGGCCTCGGCGACCGGACCGAGGCGGAAGTCCCGGCCCGGGATCCGGCCGGCCGGCACCGGAAGCTGGCGGCGGGCCGGCGCTGCGCGTTGCTCGGCCGGGTGCCGCACCCCTGGCGCGAGCGTTCCGGGAGCCTCTCCCCAGCCCTCCTCAGCTTCCGGTTGACCGCGAGCCTCCCCATCCGAGCCGCGTGGCCCCGGACGGCAGGAAGCGGCGACCTCCTCACCGATCTATCCTTAATTTGTAACGTAACTTCTGTCTTTTCTCTTGCTGAGACCAGAGTGTCTAACCATCAAAATCCAAGTTAAGTAGACTGCGTGAGACCCGCCTTGGTTATTCTGGCTTCCGTCATCCTGTCAATGTCCCACTGCTTAACAAATGGTGAAAACGTGTAGAAAAGTGTAGACAGTGTGACTCCGATTTTGCTTTAGGGCTCGGAAGGTGGCTCAGGGGTAGAGTGCTTGCCTAGCATGCATGAAGCCCTGGGTTCGATGCCTCAGTACCACGTAAACAGAAAAGGCCGGACGTGGTGCTGTGGTTCAAGTGGTAGAGTGCTAGCCTCGGGCAAAGGGAGCTCCCGAACAGTGCTTAGACCCGGAGTTCAAGCCTCGGGACTGGCAAGACAACATTTTGCCTTAAATATAGATGGCTGTATAGTGTAAGGTCCATTCCTGGACGGCGAACAGACCTGGCCCAGTACCTGCGTTACCTAGGCAACTGGGACACCTGGAACAGGTCACATCAGCATCCGCTGAGGTCACATCTTAATCTGATGTGGCCACACCTTTCTCCCACCTGATCCCACTTCTCTTTACCTGGACACACCCTTCCCCGCCCCCTACCCTATATAAGGCCTAACCCGGGGCCAGACGCTCTTTTTGCCAGCCTCTTGGAGTGCCAACCGTACCTGGTCCCAGCAGGTCAACTGAATAAACCTACCCCTTACCTGAATACCACGTGCTGGTGCTGTTCTTACTCGGCTACCTCTTTTTAAAAACCTAACATATAGCACAGTGAGTTTTTAAAAACTAATTTGTACTAGCCTCTTCTTTCCCTAACCATGCCCCACAGGAAGTATATTCTAAAGACCCACTGTCAGTAGAATGGAGTCTACCTGGCACAGCACTGCCAAAGCAGACACACACAGGTACAGGCTGAAGTATGAGGAGATGTATAAAGACCATGACTTTGAGCAGGGCACCAGTGCCTCACACCTGCAATCCTTAGCCACTCCCGGGCTGAGATCTGAAGATTGAGGCTCGAAGCCAGCCAGAGCATGAGATTCTTATCTCCAGCTAACCAGCAAAAAGCCTGAAGTGAGCCAGGAGCTGGTGGCTCATGCCTGTAATCCTAGCTACTCAGGAGGCTGAGATATGAGGATCACCATTCAAAGCCAATCGGGGCAGCAAAGTCCGTGAGACTCTTCAAACCGGAAGTGGCACTGTAGCTCAAGTGGTAGAGCGCTCGCCTTGAGCTGAAGAGCTGAGGGACAGCGCCCAGGCCCAGAGTTCAAGCCCCACGACCAACCAAAAAAAAAAAAAAAAAAGACAGACGTGAAGCTATGCCACACAGGCAATCTGGGTGAAAAAGCTAAGGAACAGCACCCAGATCCTGAGCTCAAGTCCCAGTACCCATTTTTGTTTTTTGTTCAAAGACTGGAGAAAAGGTCATCGCAGTTAGGAACCTCAGTTTACTTTTCCTTTTATCTCCAACTAGGTTAATATTAAACTCAATTCAATTAAATATGATTGTGGACCAGCCCATTGTAAAGGTATAATGTAATTCTAGCTACTGAGGATCGTGGTTCAAAGCCAGCAGGAATTAACCACCAGAAAACTGGAAGTGGCGCTGTGGCTCAAGTGGTAGAGCACTAGCCTTGAGCAAAGGAAGTTCAGGGACAGTGCCCAAGTCCTGAGTTCAAGCCACAGGACTTGAAAAAAAAAAAAAAAAGATCAAGGGAAGAGGGTATTCCATGCAGAGGAAGGTGGGAGAAAGTAAAACAAGCAGGAACAATGAAACAAGGTTCTTGAGGCCTGCAGAGAGCAAGGGGACATGGCTGTTTGCCTATATACTAGAGCAGGAAATTATAGTTCTCACCTGCTGCATACCTATTAGATTAGTTGAGACATCTCTCTAGTGAATAGGACTGCAGGAACTTAATTTTTTCTTTATATTTTCTATATTCTGAAAACTATATGTTGATTATGTTATTTTTATAACCCGAGAGGAAACAATTTAAGTTAAAAAAGGCAAAAATCAGAAAATGAACAATATGATTAAAACAAATGAAAATGTACACTAACTGTGCACAACTAAGGTAAGTCAGATTAGAGGATTTTCTGTAAAGACTTCAAAAGACAAGAAACCAGTGGGAAAAAAAGTTAATTAGGCAGCCTGGATAGAATTACCTCCAGGGGCTGGGAAGGTGGCTCAGTGGTAGAGCTCTTGCCTTGCATGCATGAGGCCCTGGGTTTGATTCCTCAGCACCACATAAGCAAAAAGAAAAAGCTGGAAGTGGCACTGTGACTCAAGTGGTAGAGTGCTAGCCTTGAGCTGAAGAGCTGAGGGACAGCGCCCAGGCCCAGAGTTCAGGCCCCACAACCGGACCCCCCCCCCCAAAAAAAAAAAAAAAAAAAAAACAATTACCTCCAAAATTAAATGGACAATCTATAGATTGTCTCCTTGCCTGGTAAAACTTGACTTCCTACAAAATAAGCAAAACTCTGGTAGACAACTAGCTTAGGCAAAAAAGAACCTTGTTGCTTTCTTAATCCCTTGCTTGAAATTGCATGGTAATAAGGAAACTTTACTTTGGACCAGCAACTGTTTATAGAAGACTGCTGTGAGCTGTGCAGTAAATAGCCAATAACTGAGGGAATCTTTGAAGCAGCAATGAATGCAGGTCAAGGGAGCAAAATTGGCTCTGAGACATTCTGTAAACCAGTCTTAACCTTTCTGGGCCTAGGGAATACTACACCACTAAATGAATGAATGAAGCCTTATATGCAGTTTTATTATATAACTGCAATTGGTTTTCACAAAACATGTAACTTCTATACACATGTACTGCTGTATAACAGAGATTTCCCTCCCCCATCCTACTGTGCACATAGACTAGGGATATTTTCTTTACAGCTAGCATTTCAGAATACTTAATTTGGTTGAATTAGGTTTATAGGAACTACTTAGGAATTTTTGTTCTAGTTTTAATGGCCAAGAAAACCCCTATAATTTTAATGCATTAACTTTACTTGGAAATGCAATATAGTTACCTAATTTTTGTTTATTTCTTGAGTCTTACTATGTAGCCCAGGATGGCCTTGAACTCCAAATCCTCCTGCCTCAGTATGACTGGCATGCCTGTCTTTTACTTACACAAATTTTAATAGAAACAAACTTGGGACCAGAAATCACATTATGCCTTTAGTCCTGTTTAACAGCTTATGGTAAATGCTGATTTGTATAAATATTAATATTTTAAGGTATTAGATGTAATATAGGAACAAAAAGAACCAATTAAAAAACAAACTTATATTTAGTTTTTTTTCCTCAAAACATAAAGTAGCTTTTTTCTGAATATAAAATTACTGCCTAGTGGTTTTTTAACAAGTTGTATAAATTTGATCTTTAAATAAGTGCTTTTTTATCATTCTTTTAAAAATATAAAAGCCGGTGTCAGTGGCTCACGCTTGTAATCCTATCTACTCAGGAGACTGAGATCTGAGGATTGAGGTTCAAAGCCAGCTGGGGCAGAAAAGTCTGTGAGACACTTATCTCCAATAAACCACCAGAAAACTGGAAGTGGTGCAGTGGCTCAAGTGGTAGAGTGCTAGTCTTGAGCTGACGATCTGAAGGACAGTGCCCAGTCCCAGAGTTCAAGCCCCATGACTGACCAAAAACAGAAAAAAAGAAGTCAAAAATACATTTTCAATGGTTTTCTTTATAAAAATTTATTATTGTAAAGGTGTGTACAGGGAGGTTACAGTTATGTATGTCAGGTAAAGAGTACATTTCTTCTTGGACAAGGTCACCCTTTCTCTCCCTCTCTCCTAGTTTTTCTTTCCTGTCTCCCCTCACAAGTTGTATAATTCATTTTCAATATAATCTCTAGTGAGTACTATTGCTGCATTTGTTCACCCTTTGTGCCTCCCCTTTACTATCCCAAAGGCAGATAAATGAAAAAACAACACAAAAGTAAACAATAACAGTAACAAAGAAAAAAACCCTCATTTCCACTTCCTGGAGTTCATTTCAATAAATACATTTGATATGACCAGATAAACACAGGCATTGCAGCTTCGTGCACTCTCCTTTGTTCTCACTGTGTGTGAATGCCTAGAGTTCTGTATAATTTATTATGTATTTTAGATCTAGTTTTTACATGAGAGAAAACATGTACTGTTTATGTCTCTGAGCTTAGCTAAGAGACACAAGGTTAGTTTGGCTAACCTCATTTAACATGACTTGTTCTATTTCCCTGAAAATGGCTTAATATTGTTCTTTCTACTTTCTGTGTAAAATTCCATTGTGTATAGGTGCCACATTTTTTTGGATCCACTTATCTGGGATGTTTCCATAACTTAGCTATTGTGGATACAGCAACAGTGCGCATGGGTGTGCAAGTCTTTACAATATCCTGGTGTGTAAAAATACATTTTTATAAGGACTGAAGGCATGGCTCAAGAGGTAGAATGCCAACCAGGAATAAAAATGTTAATCAAGAATGAGAAGACCACCATGTGCCAGGGACTCACACCTGTAATCCTACTCAGGAGGCTGAGATCTGAGGATCGCAGTTCAAAGCCAGCCCAGGCAAGAAAGTCTGCGATACTTTTTTTTTTTTTGCCAATGCTGGGGCTTGAACTCAGGGCCTGAGCACTGTCACTGAGCTGCTTTTGCTCAATGCTAGCGCTCTACCACTTGAGCCACAGTTCTACTTCCAGCTTTTTCTGTTTATGTGGTACTGAGGAATCAAACCCAGGGCTTCATGTATGCGAGGCAAGCACTCTACCACTAAGCCACATTCCCAGCTCTTATCTCCACTAAACTATTGAGAAAAGCCAGATGTGGAGCTGTAGCTCAGATGGCAGAATACTAGCAAAAGAAGCTCAGGGACAGCATCAATGCTGAGTTCTGAGTTCAATCCCACGATGGTGCGCACACACGCACGCACACACACGTGCACACACACACACACACACACACACACACACACAATACCTGAGTTCCAGCCTCAGTACTAGAACTAGAATAACAACAATTACATATCAAACATAAAGACACCAAGAAGAAGCCAGGTCCTGGTGGCTCACACCTGTAATCCTAGCTGTTCAGGAGGTTGAGATCTGAGGATCACTGTTCAGTCAGCCTGGGCAGTAGTCTCAGTGACTCTTATCTCCAATTAACCACCAGAAAATTAGAAGTAGAGCTGTGGCTCAAAGTGAGAGACCTCTAACCTTGAGCAATAAGAGCTCAGGAACAGTGCCCTGGCCCTGAGTTTAAGCCCCACAACTGACCAAAAAAACCCAAAAAATCTAAGAAAGACAATATATCACAAGGGCTAGGAAGGTGGCTCAGTAGTAGAGGGCTTGCCTTGCAAAAAAGAAAAAAAAGAAAATATATCACAAGTATATACATACATCAAATATATGGTATATGTTTCCTATAATGATGCTTATTCCTAATTTTGTCTAATCAAGGCAATCATATATCTGCTTTTCTTTTTATTGTTATAACGGTCTACAGAAGGTTATACTTACATAAGTCAGGTAAATGTCACCCCTTCCTTCACCTTCTCCCAGTTTTTCCCTCCCATTCCATGCTTTTCTTTTTTCCCACCTGATATATTTTTGAATAAAAAGCTACCTAACTGTATGGTATTCCATTTAGGTACTCAACTCTAATGATTTAAATATAATTCATTTCCAAATTTTCCATATTATTATAAATGACTGTGATAACTATTTTAAATCTATGCATAATTACTTTATTGTTCTAAAAAATTCTCCAGGATTTCCTGATTCTCCAGAAATGTAAAGTGTTAAGGAGGAAAAACCTTTCCTCTATGCTCTTAGGTTCAATCATGAAGGCGTATGAATTAAACTAATAAAATTATCAGAAGAAAAAGCATTCTACTTCTCATCAATATTTACCTTTTGGAAGTTCACAGAAAAAGAGGTGAAACTAACAAGCCATTAGACTTTGAGGTTTAGATATCCTTTTAGCAAAAGAAAGTTTGAACTTTGGTGGGTGATAAACCATGAAGCAACCAAGTAATATACAGGGGAACTAGTGGTGAATAAGGGTTAGAATAAGGTTTAAAGTACAGTGTGTTTATGCAAACTCATTTTGGTATTGACTATTTGATAAGAATTGTCCTTCCTTACTGGTAAGGGGGTTTGTCACGGGATGCCGGTGAGGTTTAGTGAAGTTTTCCTTTACATGTAGGAATTCTTCACTTATGATCCTTGACTTTGATCGCAGAATAAGAATTTCTGGACAAATGACCATGGTAAGAAAACTTGGTGGAGCATTACTTTATTTTTAATTTTTTTTATTTCTTGATCGGTCGTGGGGCTTGAACTCGGCTTGGGCACTGTCCCTCAGCTCTTCAGCTCAAAGTGAGCGCTTTACCGCTTGAGCCACAGAGCCACTTCTGGTTTTCTAGTAGTTTATTGGAGATAAGAATCTCACAGACTTTCCCCAGGCCGGTTTTGAACTACCATCCTCAGATCTCAGCCTCCTGAGTAGCTAGGATTATGGGAATGAGCCACTGGTGCCCAGCTGGCAGAGCTTTATTGAGTAAGTAAACAAGCAGGCAATCAGACAGGCAAGCCAAAGGGCAGAGGCACATGTTAGCAGAGTGTGGGTACTCTCACAGAGAGATGGACAAACACAGCTCTGTGGCTCTTGGGGTATTCACATGGGAAGATAAGGGTTCTGGCTTCAAAGTTTTGCAAAGATAGGTGTTTTTGTCTTTGTTCTAATCCACTTGGTGTTACTTTATGAGTTTCCAGGTAAAACAGGTCCTTAACCTTGAGATAAAGAGGACATCCTGTTATCTGCATTTTGGGTAGGAGGTTGCTTAAGTTTGGGGGAAGCAATTTTCTCAGGAAGAAATGCATCCTGTTATCTCTCTTTGAAGCAAAGATGGCACTTCTATGTTTCTAAATACCATATTTCTGAGTTGTCTTCATCAGGTCTCTTAAGTTATGTTGTTTCATTTTCCCCTAAATGACTTTGGTCCTTTAATCTTAAGGGAAGTACATGAAGGAATATCTCCTGTATTTGCGGTGTTTACCACACTTTATTTTCCCTTAGCCTATCCAGCTTCATTTCCCCTAGAATGACTCATTCCTTTATTTTTTTAATTTTTTTGGTTGTGGGGCTTGAACTCGACCTGGACGCTGTCCCTCAGCTCTTCAGCTCAGGGCTGGTGCTCTCCCACTTGAGCCACAGAGCCACTTCCGGTTTTCGGGTGGTTTATTGGAGATAAGAGTCTTATGCATTTTCCTGCCCTGGTGGCTTTCAACTGCGACCCTTGTCAAATCTCAGCCTCCTGAGTAGCTAGGATTACAGGCCTGAGCCACCGGCGCCTGGTCATTCCTTTAATCTTTTTTTTTTTTGTCGGTCGTGGGGCTTGAACTCTGGGCCTGGGCGCTGTCCCTCAGCTCTTCAGCTCAAGGCGAGCGCTCTACCACTTGAGCTACAGCGCCACTTCCGGTTTTTCTGGTGGTTTATTGAAGATAAGAGTCTCACGGTCTTTCCTGCCCGGGCTGGCTTTGAACCGCGATCCTCAGATCTCAGCCTCCTTAGTAGCTAGGATTACAGGCCTGAGACACCAGCGCCCGGCCATTCCTTTAATCTTAAGGGAAGGACAGGAAGGAATGTCTCCTGTATTTGCTGTGAGCTGACTGTAGCTCCTTTCCCCTAATATAATTTTATTCCCTTAATGTGGATAGACGGGCTTTAAGCTTGAGTTTTTGAATTCCTGGCAGCCATTTATCATGCCTCATCTCCCTAGGCGATCCTGCCTCAGGTTAAGCACTCTTCACAGAAAGAAATTCATATCTTGATTTTAAGCAAATAAGGGGAGGGCAGAGAACTCAAATCTCAAGACAGCTCCAGGTATTCCTTACACCAAAGTGGCATATTCTGTACCCCTACCATTCTTTTCATCGATATATCCGATATTGTTTGGTGAAAATACTGTGCAACTCTGAAAGGATACATAAAACACCGATGACAGCATACATGCATTTTGTCACTTTAAAGAAGGATAACCCCAGCTGCTTTATTTTTCTCAAGGACAACAAACTCTACTGGAACTACCCATCCCGTCTTGCTGGACGCGAAGGGTCACGCTGGAGACTGCGTTGAAGCCCTGTCTGGGCAATACAGCAGTAAGATCGCAATTCAAAAGCGGAACGAAACATGCTATCGGCGAGCGTCGGCGGAACAAGCTAAGGCGATCCCTAAGATGGCAGGCCGGGCGCCGGTGGCGCAGGCTGGAACCCCTGGCTAACTCACGTGTGCTCCGTAGGCGTCCAGCTTTTCCTTGAGAAGGAGTTCACTCCTTCCTAGGGAGGGACGGGATCCGCCGGCGCGTTTAACAACCCGCAGCCAGCCCTGGGAAAAGGCCACCGGCCGAACCGCGGCGTCATCCCGCCCCGCCCGGGCTCAGACCCACACAGGGAGGGATTCCAAGTCCCGGAAGAACCGCTTCCAGGGGGGCCGGAAGTCGTCCGACGGAACCGGAAGTCCGACGGGGACCCTATGTGGAATGGACTGAGCGACCCACCCTCCTCCCGGGTCTACAAGGTGATCCCCGCCCGGGCCAGTGTCAGGCGGGCGACGTGGAAGTGAGTGCGGGCGCCGAGGCCAGGGTGGTCCGGGCGGCGCGTGCTCGGCCTCCAGCGTCGGCGGCACGCGAGCCCGCAAACGCCGCTCGCTCGCTAGCCGTTCAGGGTGCCTTTCGCGCCTGCGTGACCCCGAGCTAGGGCTCTGGCGCGCTCCCCGGCCCGCCGCCAGCCTCGTCCCTGCACCCGGGCCCAGCGGCCCCCTCACCCTCCGGACCCCGGAGCTGGCAGGCCCTACCTGCGGCCGTTCCTGGCTGCGTGCTCGTTGAGACCCCTTGACTCGCATGCTCGGGGCTGCTTTCCTGTGCTAACCGCCACCAGCGAGCGGGATGACACCGGAAAAACCGTGGTGACCCTTCTGGACTCCGGTTCTCTCTCCTGCAAAGTGAGGTTCCTTCCAGTTTTATAAACGACCTTTTTAAAAATTGCTGTGATTAAGTAGATGTACAAGAGGGTTACAATTCCACAAGTCAGGTTAGGACAGTGCCACTTGGTCAATCTCACGCCTGCCTTCCTGTTCTCCCCCATCTTTCCCCTCCCTTCACTACCGTCAAGTTACCTCGTTCATTTTTTACATAATGCTCTAATTGCATTTGTTCATCTTCCATTCCTGTGACCTCTTGTGTCCCCACCCTCCGCCCCAAGAAAAAGAAAATGTGTTTCCACTTCTGGTTATTCGTTTTGATAAACAGTCTCGCCAGTTTTGACATTTGGGTTATTGTTCCCAATGCATCTTCTCGCTGCCTCGATATCAGTGTTGATTCATTGCCTGTTAAGTTCTTGGTCTCTGCGTTAATAAGTGCCTTTATCAGATCTGGTTTCAGACTATTTCCTAAGGAATCTTGTATTCCCTGAGCACTTTGTACTCCTCCGGCCAGGGACAAATACCTAAATAAGATTTTGATAGGTTCAGTTCTTGAAGTCCTCAATGTGTGTAATTGCTCGTTTTTGCTGATTGAATTTCTAAGTAGTAATGTGCTTAATTCTTTGGAATTAAATCAATTTCTTTTGATCTTTACTGAAATAAGTCTTGAAGTAAGATGCTGTGTATTTTTAACTTCAACAATGAATCCTCAAAGTGTAAGCCCTCCTTAAAAAAAAAAAACATGATATTGCTTAATATAGCTGGTGATAAAGTGTGTAAATCATCTCATCTATTACCAAGAATAGACATTTTAACTTTTTTTTTTACAGAGTTCAGGAAAAGGTAGTCCATGGGAAAGAAGGTTTGTTTTTTACCTGGTCAGGTACTTTCTTCGCTGTGTTGTGCCTTTTCCAGTTACCATTTCTTTCATTAAAAAAATATGCATATAGCCCGGTGCTGGTGGCTCAGTCCTGTAATCGTAGCTACTCAGGAGGCTGAGATCTGAGAATTGAAATTCAAAGCCAGCCTGGGCAGGAAAGTCCATATTAATCACCAGAAAACCAGAAGTGGAACTGTGGCTCCAGTGGTAGAGTGCTAGCCTTGAGCTGAGGAGCTGAGGGACAGCACCCAGGCCCAGAGATCAAGCCCCATGATGGGCGCACATACACACACACACAAAATATATTTATACACATATATACATGTATATACATATACATGTATATGTACAAATGTGTGTACATATATATGTTTATGTATGTATATTGAGCCAGGCACCTGTAGCTCATGCCTGTAATTCTAGCTACTCAGGAGGCTGAGATCTGAGGATCACATTTCAAAGCCAGGCCGGGCTGGAAACTGTGTGAGACTCTTAACTCCAATCAACTACTCCAAAAAGCCTGCTCAAGTGGTAGTGTGCTCGCCTTGAGCAAAAGAAACTCAGGGACAGCACCTAGGCCCAGATTTCAAGCCCCAGCAGTGTGGAGGAGGGGGGGAGTATACACACACACACATAGTGTACTTTATTTGTTACATTAGGATATGTCCTGCCATAAAACATTTGGGAAAATGGATTGAAGGTTAACATTTAAATTGTTTTAGTAGTATTGACTCAGGCCAAGTGCTTGCTAGGAAGATTCTCTACCATAAGGTCTCACAGTTTTCACTTTGCAAGCATCAAGCAGTGTTCCTCCTCACTGTGTCTCATGCTTACATCACCACAGCCAACTTATTTATTACTATGGGACTTCACAGCCAGGCATCAGTAGCTCACTCCTGTAATCCTAGGTACTGAAAAGGCTCAGATCTGAGGATCAAGGTTCAAAACCATACTGGACAGGACAATCTGTGAGACTCTTAAACAGAAAAAGCAGCAAAAATTGAGTATGATGGCCTATAATCCTAGCTACTCAGGAGGCATATAAAGGTTCAGAAATGTGAGGACAGATTTATGGTTTAGGGGGGAAAAAATAACTTGAGAGATAGAAGTGAGGAGACTATATTAACATAGGGCAGATAATGCATATTAGGCAGTTGTACATTAAGCTGATGGGGAACCATTTTGGAAGGGTATTTAGGAAAGAGTTGATGAATTCGAGTGTACATTTTAGAAAAAATATTGGTGTTTTGGTGGAGGTTTTTTGGTGTTTTGTTTTGATTTTTTTTTGGGGGGGGGGAGGGCGAGGGTCAGTCCTGGGCTCGAATTCTGGGCCTAGGTGCTATCCCTGAGTTTCTTTTGCTCAAGGCCAGCACACTACCACTTGAACCACAGTGCTACTTCTAGCTTTTTTGAGTAGTTTATTGGAGATGAGTTTCATGGAGTTTCCAGTCCAGTCTGGCTTTGAACCACAATCCTTAGATCTTAGCCTTCTGAGTAGCTAGGATTTCAGATGTGAGCCATTGGTGCCCAGCTTATTGTTTAAGCCCTTAGGTTTATGATACTTATTTGCATTAGTCTGAGCTAATATACTCACTCATCCTCTTTCCCTCTTTCCATGCCCCAACCTGTAGGGTTTCAACTCAGGGCCTCATGCTTGGTAGGGTTGGCACTCTACCATTTTAGCCACACCTCTAGCTCTGCTTTTTGTTGGTTATTTCAGCGATGGAGTGTAGTGAACTTTTCTACCTAGGTTGGCTTTGAGCTACTGTCCTCCAGATCTCAGTCTCCTGAGCAGCTAGAATTACATGTATGAGCTACCAGCACCTGTGTCTCATACATTTTGTTGCAGAGTATAAATCTGATTTGGTGGATTTTGTTCCTCAGGTTCTTGTGCACATTAAGCACATGTTCTGCTACTGAGCTATGTAACTTTCTCTGTAAATCATGTCAGTTGTGATTTCATTAGGGAAATCTGAAAAAAAGCCTTTTTTGTTTTGAGATGAGATCTCACTGTATATAGCCCAGTTTGACTCGGAACGCAAGGTGCTCCTGATTCAGACTCTAATGCTGGGATTATAGGCATGCACCAAATGGCTGTAAAAATAGACTATTTATATAGTTGGTTATGGTATTTCAGTCCTATCACGATAATAACATGAATAAATAATAATAGTACCTAGGGAGTACTTGGTATAATTCTATCTCTAACTAGACTGTGAATCCTTTCAGGGCAGGAACCCAGTTGTGTTCATTTTTGTACCCTAGTTCTTCATACAGTGCTTTAGGTGTAGTAGCTTTTCAGTTAATATTTGCTAACTTGACTTAAATATTAGCTAAGCTTCACTTAAAAATTTTATTTCCCTAGGAGAAGCATGAATCAGAAGCTAATGAGGTTGGAAACCTTGCTACGACTTCACACTGTATGTAGGCACCTGCATAGCCTGAGACAAAGAACTCATGCACATTGGATGCACAGGTTTCCATCTGCTTACCCGGTGTGGACCACTCAGCTCTGTGCTCCGACCTGGCAGACAGACATTCTCATTGGCACTGCTTTATCTCAGTATCGGCTTCTAGTAACAAAGAAGGTACTTACTGATTTCTGTAACTTTTCATGATTTGTTCTGAAATGAAAGTGCCTAGAACCATGAGGAGAAATCTCTTCTGAGGATTTTATCACTTAAAAAACTTATTACAGGGCTGGGAAGGTAGCTCAGTGATAGAGCACTTGCCTTGCATGCATGGGGCCTTGGGTTCAATTCCTCAGCACCACATAAGCAGAAAAAAAAAAGCTGGAAGTGGCGCTGTGGCTCAAGTGGTAGAGTGCTAGCCTTGAGCTGAAGAGCTGAGGGACAGTGCCCAGGCCCAGAGTTCAGGCCCCATGACCGGACCCCCCCCCCCCAAAAAAAAAAAAGGAACTTATTACTTAATGCTCTTCTCACACAATAGATCACAGAAGGAAGAGGGCATTCTGGTTAGTTGTTTGGTTGTGCTGATGAATTTGATTAATTACATGGAGATCAGTATGAAACAGTTAATTAAACTAGGTGCCTATGGCTCATGCCTGTAATCTTATCTATTTAGGAAGTTGAGATCTGAGGACTGAAGTTTGAGACAGCCCAGGCAGTAAGGTCCCTGAGTCTCTAACAAGCAAAAAAGCTGGAAGTGAAAGTATGGTTCAAGTAGTAGAGTACTAGCCTTGGGCAGAAAAAGCCAAGTGAGCACAAGGCTTCAAGTTCAAACCCCAGTACCGGCACAACAACAAAGCTATGAATTAAAGATAAAAGATTCGTTTTTTAATCTGAGGATTAAGTACTCAAGAGAGGTGTTTTTGTCTTTTTTTTTTTTCTTTTGTGCTGATACTGAGGCTTGAATTCAGAACTTGGGTGCTGTCCCTTAGCTTTTTTGCTCAAGGCTAGTGCTCTACCACTTCAGTCACAATTCTACTTCTAGCTTTTTTTTTTTTTTTTTGTCAGTCGTGGGGCTTGAACTCTGGGCCTGGGCGCTGTCCCTCAGCTCTTCAGCTCAAGGCGAGTGCTCTACCACTTGAGCTACAGCGCCACTTCTGGTTTTCTGGTGGTTTATTGGAGATAAGAGTCTCACAGTCTCTCCTGTCCGGGCTGGCTTTGAACCGCGATCCTCAGATCTCAGCCTCCTGAGTAGCTAGGATTACAGGCGTGAGCCACCAGCGCCCGGCACTTCTAGCTTTTTTGATGGTTAATTGGAGATAAAACTCTCACAGTCTTTCCTGCCTAAGCTAGTTTTGAGCTATAGTCCTCAGATGTCAGCCTCCTGAGTAGCCAGGATTATAGGTATGAGTCACTGGTGCCATGATTATGGTAGATTTCCAAAACAAATCAGAATTTTCACTTAATGTTTTTTTTTCTATGTTTATGTATTGTCATTTTATTTTTTATTTTTTGTATATATTTTTATTGTAATATTCTGTCATTTTAATAGGAAGAAAGACCAAGGAAATCTCAGGTATCTCCAACAAAATCTAAAAAGGAAGTAGAAGTATGGATTGGAATGACTGTTGAAGAACTAGCCAGAGCAATGAAGAAAGACATAGGTGAGGCCAGATAACTTTACAAGGAAACAGATGTGGTCATGAGTGTTTTTTACAATGTTTTTCTTTTCTTTCTTTTTTTTGATCTCTACAACTTCTAATATTTTTTTTTTGGAGGTGGGGAGGGGTCCAATCCTGGGCCTGAACTCTGGGCCTGGGCGCTGTCCCTCAGCTCTTCAGCTTAAGGCTAGTGCTCTACCATTTGAGCCACAGTGCCACTTCTGGCTTTTTTTTTTCTTATGTAGTGCTGAGGAATCAAACCCAGGGCTTCATGCATGCAAGGCATGCACTCTACCACTGAGCCACCTTCCCAGCCCTACAACTTCTAATATTGTGTGTGTGTGTGTGTGTGTGTGTGTGTGTGTGTGTGTGTGTGTGTGTGTGTGTGTATTTCAGTGCTAGAGATTGAACCTGGCCCTTACACATGCTAGAGCAATTCTTTAAAAATTAAATGGGCTGGAAATGTGGCTTAGTTGGTAGAGTGCTTGCCTAGTATGTATGAAGCCCTGGGTTTGATTCCTCAGTACCACATAAACAGAAAAAGCCAGAAGTGACACTATGGCTCAAGTGGTAGAGTGCTAGCCAGGAGCAAAAGAAGCTCAGGGACAGTGCCCAGGCCCTGAGTTCAAGCCCAGGACTGGCAAAATAAATAAACTCATCAAGGTTGAATACAGTGGCTCACACCTATCATCTACCTACTTAGGAGGCAGAGAAAGGGAAGATTATGGTTCAGGGCTAGCTTAGGCAAACAGACTCCAATTTCAACAAAGAGCTGAGTAATAATGCAAATCTGTAATCCCACCTCCTGGAAGGTATAGGCCCGGCTGCCCTGGATAAAAACGCAAGACCTATTCTGAAAAATAGCTAAAACCAGAAAAGGCTGTGGGCATAACTCAAGTGGTAAGACTACCTTCTTTGGAAGCATGAGGCCCTGAATTCAGTGTCTAGTACTATCAAAAAGGAGAAGAAGAAAAAAAATCAAAACTCAGTTCTTGTTTTTTTGTTTTTTTTTTCAGTAGTGGGGCTTGAACTCAGAGCCTGAGTGCTGTCTCTGAGCTAGTTCCACTCAAGGCTAGCACTCTATCACTTTGAGCTACAGCTCTACTTTGGTTTTCTGGTGGTTAATTGGAGATAAGAGTCTCATGGATTTTTTTTACCCAGGCTGGCTTTGAATCTCGATCTTCAGATCTCATCCTCCTGAGTAGCTAGGATTATAGGCACGAGCCACAAGTGCCTGGCTTACTGTTAATTTTTAACTGTCCCTTTCTATTTACTATTTTAACTGCCTGAGGTTATTTGTGCCTGTATTGTCTGTGTGGTGGACCTATAGTATATAACTGCTGCTCAGCATCTCTTCACATCCATATGCCTAGAATTCATGTTGTAAGCTTCGAGTCAACCATGATTAGTATAAATCATGGACCTGTTTTCCTAGTCTCCTTACTTAACATGTATCAGCACACCACTGAATTGGTTGTTCGTTGTTTTTTATTTGGGGTTTTATTTATTTATTTATTTATTGGCTTTTTTTTTAGCCAATCCTGGGGCTTGAACTCTGAGCCTTGGTACTGTCCCTGAGCTTTTAGCTAAGATTACAGGTATGAGCCACTGGTGCCAGGTTTATTTTGTTTTGAGACCTGAATTTATGATTCCCTTGCCTCAGCCTCCTAAGTACTAGGATATAGGTGTGTGACATCTGTCCAGTTTTGAAGTTCTTTTGTTGTTGTTGTTGTTCTCTTTACTGTATTACATTATGGGGGTTTTTTTTGTATTTTTTTTATTGTGAAAATACCATACGGAGGGGTTACAATTACATGAGCAAGGTAATGAGTACATTTCTTATCAAGCATTGTTGCCTCCTCCTTTGTTTCCCCTTACCATCCCTTCCCATCTCCCCCCCTCACCCTCCTCCCCAGTTTTGAATTTCTTTTAGGTGTAATTTTCTGTTTATTGGAGGATGCATTTCTGTCATATTTATTCTCTAAATACATGTTTACAGGGTGACTGAAAATTTAGAAACATAAAACTACTTATTTCATTATCACAGGTATATTTATTTCCATAGGAAATATGACAGAGTAAAACAAAGCATAATAAAATGAAAAGGAATATATATTTTTATATATTTTAAGAGTTTTTGGACAACAAAATAGATACATAAATTATGGGTATGTGTATTAAGAGGTAGTGTGTCTGTGTGTATATATACAGTTTAGTGCCTATATATATTTATTATATATATTATCATATATAGTCAGTCTTCATTTTTCATGGGTTTGATATTTGCAGCTATTCCTACTGTATTTGTAAAAATGTATTTGTTGTCTATAAATCAATACTTAGGGCAGTTATTATTCTTAGACACACTTAGAGAAGTGTAAAATCCAAGTTGCTCCATATGTAGCTCCCTGCTTAGGTCAAACAAGGTGATGTTCTGCCTTCTTGCTTAGCCCCTCATTCTGCAAACAAGCATCCATTACAGTCTGTTCAGTGGTTTGCTTTTCAAATTTTCATGCTTTTAATTTTTGTGGTGATTCTGATATTTAACTTGGCTCTTATCTAGTACTGAATTGTATCAGCACTAGAAGGCTATCCCGTGCCTTATATAGAAAACAGATGTCCTAAATTAGTATATCTATGATTCAGTTATTGTGCTATTGACTGTGAGTTGTTAATAAAGCAACAATGTACATTTTTGAAAAATATCTTCCAATAGACACTTAAACAAAATAATGTGTTGATTGGTTTATGAAATGATATGATTAGAAGCTTAAATGCCTCATTTGTCCATTTCTCTAAAAGCAGTGGTTTATGACAACTCTGTAGAACGTAACTTGTAAATAACAAGAATTGGCTGTGTCTACCTATATTACTTATTTTTATTTGGATGACATAGAATAAAGAATAAAGAAACAAAGGAATAGACTATGATCAGTGACAATACTGATTATGTTATGAGCCATTTAATTATTTATTGATGGTGCCGATACTCAGAAGGTACATAAGTTTTCAGATATTTATGAATATGCAGAATTCTAGTTATTGCATTTTGAGTGCATGATAGTTTAAGGAATTAAAAATTTTCAAACTGGGTGCCAGTAACTCATGCCTGTAATCCTAGCTACCAAGGAGGCTGAGATCTGCCCAAGCCAGCCTGGGCAAGAAAGTCTGTGAGACTCTTACCTCAATAAGCCACCAGAAAGCTGGAAGTGGCACTGTGGCTCAAGTGATAGAGTGCTTGCCTTGAGCTGAAGAGCTGAGGGACAGCTCGAGCACAGAGTTCAAGCCCCATGACCAACAAAAACTAAAAGAAAAAAATTCAGCTTCCTTGTTATTTGTTAAACTGGTTATATACTTATATTGAGTAAACCATTTATATTGGCTTTTATTAACAGAAATTACTTGTTTAAGCATTTAAATCATGATCCTAAAACATTTCATTTTATTGCAACCAGATTATGTATATGAAGCTTTATTGAACACTACTATTGACATAGATTCACTAGAAGCAGATTCACATTTAGATGAGGTGTGGATCAAAGAAGTGATAAAGAAGACAGGCAGGAAGTTGAAGTGGAGCAAATTAAAACAGGACAAAGTCAGAGAAAATAAAGATGCTGTTAAAAGGTAAGATTTAATTGTATTTTGGTGAAAAGGCCACACAGTTTTGCTTACCATACATTTTCTTTCAGGATTAAAGTAATGTGTGAGTATAAGATAAACTTTTATTCAAAGTGCTAAAAGCACCAAAAAGTATATTCAGCTTATTATAAAACTAAATTTACTTTCCATAGTATTCTGAATATATATATATATATATATATATATATATATATATATACACACACACACATATATATTAGTCTGAATTACAAATTTGATTCAATTCTGTTCATTGTTAAAAAGAATGTCAACTTTGGAACAGTTGGGGAGTCATTAAATACTCTGTCATAGATCATTATATAGAGCATGTGTGTGTTTTGGTGTTGATATATTAGTGTGTCCATATTAGGGCTTGAACTCAGGGGCATTATCATGTGATAGCACTCTAGCACATGAGCCACAGCTCCACTTCTGACTTTTTGGTTTTTAATTAATTAGAGATGAAAGTCTCAGACTTTACTGGATGGCTGGCTTTGAACCATGACCCTCTGATCTCAGCTTCCTGAGTAGCTAGGATTATAGGCGTGAACCAGCAGTGCCTGGCAAGTCATTATATTTTTAAAAGGGGAAAAATGGAAATAATAAAAGGAGAAAATAACTTTCTGTAACGAAACTAGAATGTTGATTTTATTGTTAATAGTAGCTTGCACAAATCACTGCAATCCATATCAAAGTGTTTCTGATAGTTAAGAAATGAAACCCCTTTGCTATTAATTGTAGGCCCCAAGCAGATCCAGCTTTATTAACCCCAAGGTCCCCAGTTGTTACTATAATGGGCCATGTTGACCATGGGAAAACGACGTTACTTGACAAACTTCGAAAAACTCAAGTGGCGGCAATGGAAGCTGGAGGCATCACTCAGCACATTGGTGCCTTTCTTGGTATGAACACAAATCACCTTACAATGTGCTTGGGAACCACACTTAGTATTTTCTTCAACTAAATGCCTTAATTTGAAATACACAGATCAAGTAAGGAGGGCTGAAACTTAAAGCTATCATATGATAAAGTGATGAGTAGATGGTTAAGTTACTTCATACTTTATATAAGAAGTATAACTTAGGTTACACTTTTTACTCTTGCTTATTAGTTTTAATGAGCCTGTTAAGTTTAAATAACTTGCAATGTGGGTTGGATAATATTGCTATTAATAATTAAATAGTAGGCACCATTTACTGGGCATTTAGAGACAGTTTCAGCTTAACTAACTTACTCAAAGTACATAGCTAGTAACTGGCAAAGGCAGGACTTCAACACAAGACTCTTGGATTCAATGTTAGGCTATTAACTATATACTAAACTGCCTTTCTGTGGCTTAAGTCAGTTATGTAGCTGTAGTTTGCTAATATATAGGTGACTTTCCATCCAATTATTTGTCTATTCTCTTTAGAATGGTTATTGATTGGTAATCAATAATGAAAGTAACTATGTTCTAGAAATACAAAGTTAGATATTACTTGAGAAGAAAATTCTCAGAGTCTCACTGATACTTTATTTTCTTTAAGAGTATTTTATGTTTTTGTTGTGAAATTTTAGTCTTTGTTGTTGTGATTGGTACTAATGGACAGAAGCCTGGCTTGGTGTTGCATGCCCATAATTTCAGCTGTTTGGAAGGTAGGAGGAGGAGGATCGTGGTCCCAGGTGGGCAGTCCAAGCTAGCTTAGACAAAAATACAAGGCCCTATTTGAAAAACAAACTAAAATGAAAAGAACTAGGGATATTTCTCAAGTGACAGAATATATTTGATGTCATTTATTCCTTCCCATTGCAGGAGTACATATTTGAGTACTTGGTGTTTTTGAATTTCTATTTCCACAGTGTCTCTGCCTTCTGGGGAAAAGATAACCTTTCTTGATACTCCAGGACATGCTGCCTTCTCAGCAATGAGAGCCAGAGGTGCTCAGGTCACTGACATTGTTGTGTTAGTTGTGGCTGCAGATGATGGAGTTATGACACAAACCATAGAATCTATTCAGCATGCCAAAGCTGCTCAAGGTATTTATTGTGTTTGACTTACATGTATCAGGAAGGAAGGGTTTTGTTTGTTTGTTTAATTTTGACAGTCTACTACATAAAGTTTCAATTGTGGATTCATTTATATATAGTTTATTTAATCTTCACAGCAGTCCCAGAATAGATATTTCTGTTTCACAGCTTCAGAGATAGTTGTTTTGCCACAGGCACAATAAAAATGGATAGCTGGATTTAATTTGGAACTTGTAATGAGAAGTACAGTTTTTGTTTTTGTTTTTTTCTAACCTACAGTTTTTCTTCTCTTTCTGTTCTGAGATTAGAACTCAGGGCCTTGTGCAGGTGCTCTGCCACTGAACTAGAGGTGAGCCACCCTCTACAGGGGGGTCTTTCTCTCTCTCTCTCTCTCTCTCTCTCACACACACACACACACACACACACACACACACACACACACACCAGCTTTTAAGTGGCAAATTGAACATATAAGAGTCTCATGGACTTTCCTGCCCAAGCTCTCTCTGAACTACAATCCTCAGATCTCAGCCTCCTGAATAGCTATGATTACAGGCTTAAGCCATCAGTGCCTGGCCTATGGTGACATTTAAAAAAAAAACCAACAAAACTTTTCAACATGGAAATTTTAGAGATATAAAAATAAGAATAGAATGATGAAGTTCTACATACCCATCATATGAATTCATTAAGATTTACATAGAGGTGATTTTGTTATTCCTTATTCATTTATCTGAACTCTCAAAAGAAAAATTCTCCCATTATCTGCTTAAGTAAGTTATTATTGGATCAAAGACATAAAGTTAGACTAGGCACCAGTGGCTTACATCTGTATCTACTCAAGATGCTGAAACTTGGTGGGTTGAGGTTCAAAGCCATCCCAGAATAGAAAATCACTGTGATTCTATCTTCAGTTAATCAGCAAAAAGCAAGACTGGTGGAGTGGCTCAAGTGATAGAGCACCAGCTATGAGCAAGCAAGCTTAATGAGAGTGTGATGCTCAGAGTTCAAGTACCAGTACTAGCACACAAAAAAAAGAGCAACAAGGCATAAAATTGAAACTTTTAGAAAAGCAATTGCCTACTTTAATTTAAAATTACAACAAGAGGGAGACTGGCTGCCTTATGGAGACACTAGGCCTCCTTCCCAGACTACCAGTGTGTTCCCTTAAAGTACCATAGCTCAGTGCTTACAGCCAACCTGAGCAGAAAGTCCATAAGAATCCTATCCAGTTAACCACCAAAAGACCACAAGGAGAAGTCGGGCATGAGTGGCTCACGCCTGTAATCCTAGGTACTCAGGAGGCCGAGGTCTAAGGATCACAGTTCAAAGCCAGCCCGGGCAGGAAACTTGTGAGATCTTATCTTCAATAAACCACTCAGAAAACCAGAAGTGGCACTGTGGCATAAGTAGTGGAGTGCTGGCCTTGAGCTGAAGAGCTGAGGTAAAGTGCCCAGGCCCAGAGTTCAAGCCCCATGATTGACAAAAAAAAAAAAAAAAGACCACAAGGAGGTCAGAATGCTTTGCTAAAATACAAAGTGAAGAAGAGGCTACACTTAACATATCCTAAGATAGGTAATGTTAGTGAGTCATTTTTTTGCTGGAGGATTTAGTTCATTTTCTACCATAATATATTTGGGATTTACACATTAAAATAATTCTTTAAATTGTGGCAGTTATAGGAATTACTTTCATCAGTTTAAATAGTTTTTGTTTTCTTTTTCTTTCTTGTCAGTCATGGGGCCTGAACTCTGGGCCTGAGTGCTGTTCCTCAGCTCTTCAGCTCAAGGCTAGTGCTCTACCACTTGAGCCACAGCGCCACTTCCGGCTTTTTCTATTTATATGGTGCTGAGGAATCGAACCCAGGGCCTCATGCATGCAAGACAAGCACTCTACCTTCCCAGCCTAGTTTTGTTTTCTTAACAATTACTCTCAGATATTGACTACTAAAGCCTTACTTATTTACTTTAAGGCTTACTTATAATATATCAAGTTTTTAAAAATCATGTTGTTTTCAAATTCATCTGCAGTAGAGTTAGAGTGTTTGTGATACAAGGTGGAGCAGAATCTGAGTTTACTTGGAAAGAGTTTGTGATTCAGGGAACATTAGCTATGGTATATATTGTATTTATCTCCATCTGTTAGTCCCTCTGTTGCATGAGAGTAGTAATTAAAGGCTTCTTATCTGATAGTGATATATAGCAAGGACATTATGTAAAAGTATAAATATTCTTCTACCTTTTGTTGTTGTTGCTAGTACTGGGGCTTGAATTCAGTGCCTTGTGCTCATGTTTAATTCTGTCACAAGGCACTATCAATCCTAAAAGAAAAATTGCAATAATGATACTGAGCTTCAATTCAGGATGACATTTTGAATTCAGCAATGGATTAAAGCCTAGAAATAAGAGTCAAATGATCTGGCAGGACTTGAATGATCTTGAGTTTTTCCTGGAGGTTATCACCAGTGTAGTTATTGATCTTGCTTTCAGGTTTAAAGATTGGTCTTTCTGGCCGGACGCCAGTGGCTCATGCCTATAATCCTAGCTGCTGAGGAAGCTGAAATCTAAGATCACGGTTCAAAGCCAGCCCAGGCAGAAAAGTCCGGTTCAAAGCCAGCCCAGGCAGAAAAGTCCAGTTCAAAGCCAGCCCAGGCAGAAAAGTCCGTGAGACTCTTTTTTTTTTTTGGGTCCGGTTGTGGGGCCTGAACTCTGGGCCTGGGCACTTGTCCCTCAGCTCTTCAGCTCAAGGCTAGCGCTCTACCACTTGAGCCACAGCGACACTTCCAGCTTTTTTCATTTTGCTTATGTGGTGCTGAGGAATCGAACCCAGGGCCTCAGGCATGCAAGGCAAGCGCTCTACCACTGAGCCATCTTCCCAGCCCCATCCGTGAGACTCTTATCTCCAATTAACCACAAGAAAACCAAAAGTGGTGCTGTGGCTCAAGTGGTAGAGCACTTGCCTTGAGCTGAAGAGCTCAGAGACAGTACCCAGGCTCAAAGTTCAGGCCCTATGACCCCCCCCCCCCAAAAAAAAAGATTGGTCTTTCTATACACAAATTACTGAGGTTTTATTTTTATTATATGTTAGCTTTTAATTATTACCACAAGTAGCTCATTATTTGTTTACAATTATAAAATCTCATCTCTGGATTTCTTTCTACATATATGTATGTATGTATGTATGCAGGTATGTAGAGTTGAGTGGGTTGATGAAAGTCAAACCTTGGGTCATTTAGGTGTTTTGACTAAATACATCCACAGGACAAGGAGAAAGCCACATCAGGTTGGTGTCCCTCACTGGGAATAGTAGTTGGAATTGAAGGTGTTCGCATTTGTACATTCTTTAACTTTGTCTCTTTCAGTTCCTATTGTCCTTGCAATAAACAAATGTGACAAGCCTGGTGCTGACCCTGAAAAAGTGAAAAAAGAGCTTCTGGCTTATGATGTGGTATGTGAGGATTACGGTGGTGATGTTCAGGCAGTACCTGTCTCTGCACTTACGGTAAATACAGGCCCCTCAAACGCACATGTGCTCGAATGTAAGTGCTATATGCTGTCTGAAGAGCATTTTGCCAGACATAACTTGTGTTTTAAAAATCCTTTTATTACTAATCAAAACTGGTATAATTTTCCTGATTAGGAGTTAGGCTTAGAGAGGTCAATTACCAGTTCACAGTATAATAACTGGATGGTCAGGAGTTGGTTTTAAAACTAATGATTTTCACATTATGGAATACTTGGTGTGAGGAGAGTAGGTGGTAAATTATTTGGGAGGAGAGGGGCTAGGATTATAGTTAGCTGAAATTAAAACAAGTTTACAACAGGCAGAATTGAAACTTGCTTGTATTTAATGGCTTTTTGAATAGAAATTTCTTAGGGCATTTAAGAAAGATTTAAATAAATCAATACTGCACTCATACTATTAACTATTTTGATTGATCCTATTATTGCTGATTACCCGGATGTTCTATGGATGAAAATGCTATCAGTTATTAAAATGTTATTTATGATAGTTGTATTCTCTTTTCAATTACCAGTTATTCTTTCTTAAATGCAAAACACAAGTAAGCTTAAACCTGCCTTCTACCCCTCATCCTCCACAAGAGGGTTTTTTTTTTTTTTTGCCAGTCCTGGGGCCTGGACACTGTCCCTGAGCTTCTTTTTGCTCGAGGCTAGCACTCTGCCACTTGAGCCACAGCGTCACTTCCAGTTTTTTCTGTTTATGTGGTGCTGAGGAATCAAACCCAGAGCTTTGTGTATGCTAGGCAAGCATTCCACCACTAAGCCATATTCCCAGCCCCAACGTCCTGGTTTTTTTGAGTTGTTTTTTTTTGTTTGTTTGTTTTTTTAATTGGAAATAAGAGTTTCACAGGGACTTTTCTGCCCAGACTGGCTTTGAACTGAGATCCTCAGATCTCAGTTTCCTAAGTAGCTAAGATTATAGGTGTGAGCTATTGGTGACTGGTAGTAATTCACCCTTTTAATGCTTTAAGAGAAAAGTATAACTTACGGATCATTTGCCTTTCTGATCCTGATAGTTATAGTCACAGGTAATATTTATTAATGTATATTAATTTTTGTTGTTGTTAAAGGGTGATAATCTGATGGCTGTGGCAGAAGCAACAGTTGTTCTTGCAGAAATGTTAGAATTGAAAGCAGATCCTACTGGCCCAGTAGAAGGAACAGTCATAGAGTCATTCACAGACAAAGGAAGAGGGTAGGTCTACGCTAAAATGCTGCTGCTTAATAATTTTGTTGTATAATTTTTGTGACTTGATTATATAACAATTTACTTGTTTTATCTTATGTTGTTTCTTCCGGAGCAGGTACTCTCAAAGCATATTTTTGTGTATGTGCAAGTATTGGAGCTTGAACTCAGGGCCAGAGCTTTGTTCCTTAGCTTTTTTGCATTCTACTGTTTGGCTTGAGCCACCAATACACAAATACTAAACAAATACTAATTTTCTTTTTTCCTTTTTTTTTTGCTTGAACTCAGGGTCTGGGTGCTGTCCCTGAGCTGCTTTTGCTCTGCCACTTGAGCCATAGCTCCATTTCCGGGTTTTTTAAAATAGTTTATTGGAGATAAGGATCTCATGGACTTTCCTGCCCAGGTTGGCTTTGAATTGAGAACCTAAGTTCTCAGCCTCCTGAGTAGCTAGGATTGTAGGGGTGAGCCACTAGCACCAGGTAACAAGTGGGGGGGGGGGGGGGGTTGTTTGTTTTTTGGTTTGGATTTTTTTTTTTTTTTTGGTCATGGGACTTAAACTCTGAGCTTCAGTGCTGTCCCTGAGCTCTTCAGCTCAAGGCAAGCGCTCTACGGCTTAGCTGCAGTGCTACTTCCAGTTTTCTAGTGGTTTATTGGAGATAAGAGTCTCACGGATTTTCCTGCCTGGGATGGCTTTGAACTGTGATCCTCAGATCTCAACCCCCTGAGTAGCTAGGATTATAGGTGTGAGCCAGCGCCTGGCGCCTTGCTGACAAGTGTTTTTTTATAGTACCAAAAACCTGCTTAAGAAGTTGAGAAAGGGGGCTGGGAAGGTGGCTCAGTGGTAGAGTGCTTGCCTTGCATGCATGAGGCCCTGGGTTTGATTCCTCAGTACCACATCAGCAAACAGAAAAAGCCAGAAGTGGCACTGTGGCTCAAGTGGTAGAACGCTAGCCTTGAGCTGGAAGAGCTGAGGGACAGCGCCCAGGCCCAGAGTTCAGGCCCCACAACCGGACCCAAAAAAAAAAAAAAAAAGTTGAGAAAGCAATTAATCCTGTGTACATAAATGTGTGTATGTATATGTGTGTATATGGTTTTTATTTTCTTTTTTCTAGTCCTGGGGCTTGAACTCAGGGCCTTGGTGCTGTCCCTGAGCTGCTTTGTACTCAAAGTTAGCACTCTCCCACTTCTGACTTTTTCTGAGTAATTTATTGGAGATATGAATCTCACAGACTTTCCTGCCTGGGCTGGTATTAAACTGTGATCTTCAAATCTCAGCCTCCTGAGTAGCTAGGATTATAGGTGTGAGCCACCAGTGCCTGGCTGTATATGTGTATTTTTTAAACCTCATAATGATATCTTTGCTTAGAAAGTGAAGGACAGGGTAACATTTTGTACAAAAAGAAATATTCTCATTACTTGACTTATGTAACTGTAACCCCTCTGTATATCACCTTTATAGTAACAATTTTTTTTAAAGGAGCAACAAAAAGAAACAATTATATTGTGATTATGGCATTAAGAATATTTACTTTTATATTCATTTTAGTCCCATTACAACAGCTATAATTCAAAGAGGAACTTTGAGAAAAGGCTCAGTTCTGGTTGCTGGAAAGTGTTGGGCAAAAGTACGCTTGATGTTTGATGAAAATGGAAAAGCAATCAATGAGGCCTATCCTAGCATGCCAGTGGGAATTGTAGGCTGGAGAGACCTTCCTTCTGCAGGAGATGAAATTCTTGAAGTAGAATCTGAGGTACAGATTCTGTATGTTACTATATATATTTCTACATTAAATGTATAATGGTTTCAAATATCAATCTGTACTGTTCATATCACATGAGGGGGCCAGTCATGCTGTTTGGAATACTATATTATTTTAAATTTAAAATTTAATTGTCTCAATCATATTCAAAGTTACCAAGTTAAAAAATTTAAGTTTCTTGTAATTATAAAATGAGGGGTTTCATGCTATGAGTTTACCTTGAGAACACAGCCTAGCAGGTATTAGTGTCTGTTTCATTCATTGATGCCAGCTTTCCCCCTGTGAAGTCAAGGGCACGTGAAGTTATTGACTGGAGGAAGTTTGAACAAGAACAGGAGAAAAATAAAGAAGATCTAAAAATAATAGAAGAAAAGCGGAAGGAACATCAAGAAGCATATCAGACAGCCCGTGAACAATATGGCACTTTGCACTGGAAGAAGATATCCTACAAAAAGTACCTTGAAAAAAAAGAACATAAAAACTTAAAGCCAAAAGAAAAAGTTGAAAGAGATTCAAATATACTTCCTGTAATTGTTAAAGGTGTGTTTTTAAAGATTTTACTTTAAAACTCAGTTTTTTAAATATCTGTGTATCTTTATTCCCACAGCTAATTTGCACCTTCTGTTTCATTTTTATTGTTGTTGGTCAGGGGGCTTGAACTCTGGACACTGTCCCTGAGTTCTTCAGCTCAAGTCTAGTAGTTCTACCACTTTGAGCCACAGCACCACTTCCTGGACTTTTTATTTTCTAAACTTATTATTTTATTTTATTTTAGACAGAGTCTTGCTATGTAGGTAAGCTTGACCTTGAAGTTACCATTTTCCTTCCACAGCCTCTCCAGGTGCTACAATTCCATCCCTTCCTCCACTGGAAAACCCTTCAATTCAATTGAAAGTTATTTCTGTTTTTTAAGAGGCATCTTTCTGCCTCTTGATGATTTTGTCAAAAATGTCTTTTGTTTTATTATACTTTATTTGTGGCACTGAGGTTTGAACTCAGGATCTTGTACTTGTCAGTCACTCTACCTCTGGAGCCTTTAGCCCTTCTTACTTTAGTTATTTAAAGATAGGTTTTTATGTTTTTACCTGAGCTGACTTGGACCTTGATCCTCCTTTCTGAGCATTCATGTTGATGGGGTTCTCACTAATTTTTTGCCCAAGCTAACCTCAAATTTCAATCTTCTGGTTCTCTGCTTTTGAGTAGCTAGAATTATAGTCATGGTCCACGAGTCTTAACCTGTTTGTTTATTAGTAGATATTTATAAAATAAATAATTGGTTTTACTGGTAAATAAAAGTGCTTTTGTTGGTAAAACTTATTCTTGTCATGGCTTTAAATAGATTATTGTAATTGTTTTATTTTTTTATTTTTTTTGGTCATGGGGCATGAACTCTGGGCCTGGGCGCTGTCCCTCAGTTCATAGGTTTCTGCTGGTTTATTGGAGATAAGGGTCTCACGGACTTTCCTGCCCGGGCTGGCTTTGAACCGCAGTCCTTAGATCTCAGCCTTCTGTGTAGCTAAGATTACAGGCGTGAGCCACTAGCGCCCAGCTGATTATTGTAATTTTTGTATCTGTTAATGCTGATCTCTTGCACCTATTTAAACCTTTTGCTTTATTTAGGTGATGTTGATGGTTCTGTTGAGGCCATTTTGAACATTATGGATACTTACGATGTCTCACACGAGTGTGAACTAGAATTGGTACATTTTGGAGTGGGTGATATTACTGAAAATGATATTAACTTTGCCAAAACATTTCATGGTAAGAATTCTGTTTACTATGTGTTTAGCTGTTCCCTAGATCACATTATGAACCACTTACTTCTGTCTTGTTGCTTGGCTTGTCACCCTAACATTCCTGTCAGCATCACCCTTTCTACTCTAGTCCAGTTTGCAGCCATAGCTGCACTTGTCATGGCTTTCTGCAACCTTGAGGAGCAATTCAAGAACTAGTAGGGTTTGTTTAAGTAATGTTACTGCCCCCTCTCCCCAATTCTCACGCTGTTCAAGGTTAGTTCTGTTTCATCCATCTTGACTTTTTGAGTGTTCCTCTATCTGTTATACTTTCCTTCATCTTTTTACTTTTAGCTACCTATTTTTGTTAATTGGTAACTTTGTAGGTCTTTTTTAAAAATTTAATTGTAAGGGTGATATACAGTTACTTAAGGTAATGAGTACATTTCTTGTGCAACAGTGTTACCCTCTCCCGGGTTTTCTCCCACTTTCCCTCCCCCCTGAGTCCCATCCCCCAAGTTGAAGAAGTATCACCGTTGCAGTGGTTCACTCTTTGTCCTTTGTCTCACTTTTTTTTTAAATTCCCCTTCCATTTATAGGAAAAGCTTCTTTAGTTTTAAATGCCTAGAAGATAGGGATACTGTCATTATTAGTTAAGTTACACAAAAAGCTGTCTCACCACCATCACTTTAAATAGATCCAATAACCAGCAAAGCATCAAGTGTTGAGTAATTATGAATCATTTAGAAAGGAGGTGGTTTATAACCTGATTTGACTACAATTAGATGTCATCTCTACTATTGAAAAGATACTTTCAGAAATGATGAATTTGAAGTATTTATTTTACTGGTCCTGGAGCTCAAACCCTGGGCCTGGGTGCTTTCCCTGAGCGCCTTTTTGCTCAAGGCTAGTGCCCTACCACTTGAGCCACAACATCACTTCCAGCTTTTTTTCTGTTACTACTTAGAGATAAGGGTCTCATGGACGTTCCTGCCTGGTCTGGCTTCAAACCATGATCCTCAGATCTCAGTCTCCTGAGTAGCTAGGATTACAGGTGTTGAGCCACCAGTGCGTGGCAAATTTGAAATACTTATTAAGCACTTGTGTAGCCTGGCATCTAGTAGACAAGAAAGGATTTAATAAGGCTTTGAGGTAATTGTGTTTTCTTAATTCTTTTCATTCATTTTATTTGAGACAATAGTATATTGCTTTGGCTTCCTTTTTCCCCTAAACTATTTGCAGTTAATTAGATAGGTCATCTATTCTTTGGTAGATGTTATTTCCATAAAAGTATTTTGCTTTTTAGAATAACTTAAATGTTACCATTTAAATCACTATTTTTGAACATCATAAACCATAAAATTGCAGTGTTTTAACTAAAAAATATAATTTTAATTAAAATAAAAAATCTTAGTTATGATCATTTTGTTATAAAACTAAAAATTAATTTAGCATACTGCCTAGACATTATGGGCCTTTAACATAATGTTTCTTGAATGAGTAGATTTAAAATGTCTTTTATTGCTTGGCTTTTCAGAAAGTTTTTTTATTAAGTTTATAATGTGGACCGTTCATCCAATAATCTGAAACTGTACTAGCTTTTATAAGAAAAAACATAATTTCTCAGCTACTGAGTTGCTGTTGCTATGTAATTACATGGGAGGAAATTTAGATTTAAGTTTCTGCTAAAAGAGAAATGATATTTATACTACTTTAGTGATTATGTTTTTGTTTACCAGGGGTTATATATGGCTTTAATGTGGATGCAAATAATGCTATCCAGCAGTCAGCTGCAAGAAAAGGAGTAAAAATTAAACTCCACAAAATCATTTATCGTCTTATTGAAGATTTGAAAGAGGAACTGAGCAGTAGATTGCCCTGCATAGTAGAAGAACACCCAATAGGTAAGTGTTGCCTGAATATTACTTTTTAGCATGTTTATCTTAAGTGTAAATAGTACTTGAAAGCAAAAATTAGGGGAAATGTTTCCACTGTTCCACGTACTATGTTCCAAAAAAAAATACTACCATGAGAATTCATAGATACTTAATATGTTATAAACATATGCCCTGTACCACACATTGTACTTAATTTAACCTCAAGGAGATAGACAAAACATCTAAGAACTTGCTCTCAAGCTTAGAAATGAAGAACCTAATTGTTATTTATTTATTTAATCGGTTGTGGGGCTTGACTCTGAACCTGGGTGCTGGCCTTGCTCTCTTCAGCTCAAGGCATGACCTCTGCCACTTGAGCCATAGTGCCACTTCCTGTTTTCTAGTGGTTAATTGGAGATAAAGTGAGAGACTTTCTTGCCCTGTCTGGCTTTGAACCGTGATCCTCAGATCTCAGCTCCCTGAGTAGCTAGGATTACAGGCGTGAGCCACCGGCACCTGGCTTATTTAACAGTATCAAGAGAGCCATTGATTTGTTTTTGGACTGGAGCAATATGCCATGAAAAGAAAACGTTTGAGTTTAAATGCTAAATATATTAAGTATATATTTTCCCATAGTCCAGCGTCGGATTACATTTCATTGTTAGGTCTCTTTCGTTTCATTTATTCTAAAACATTTTTTTAAGCAGACAGAGCAAGGCTATTTGAAAGTAAAGCAGCAAACATAGTGAGACCTTTCAAGAGAGGAATTCCAAACAGGAGCCCAATGGAATCCTGAGGGTATTTTTTAATAGCATGAAGCTCCGCCCATATCTCCTCCCTTGGGCTTGATGCTGATTTCTTGGTGACTTATATATGTGTGCCTCAGCTCTTCTCTCTGAGCTGACACCTAAGGCATTATAAAAAGCAGCATTTGAGTGCAATGTGACAATTTTAATGTTAGTTGATTTTATTTAGCACACATTAATAGTGCAAAGCAGTTTCACTCTGATGCCACAGATGTGTACAGTGTACATTCATTGCCTGTATTATATATTCCCTTTCTCCTCCCCCTTAATCTGGAACAGCACCCAGGCCCAGAGTTCAGGCCCCACAACCGGACGCAAAAAAAAAAAAAAAAAAATTGGTAACAAACGTGTTATTGAATTTGTTGTTGTAGGAAAACTGAGTTATAGAATTAGTGTTGATTAATGGATATAAAAACGTTTTGATTTAAATCTGGAAATGACAGAAACCAAATTGAAGGAAAGCTTAACTAGGTTTTCATGGAACAGACAAATCACTTGAGGATGCTTTATTTAAAAATTGGTGTCAAAGTAGTGTTTTTGAATTACTATTTTTAATTCTTATACTGTAGAACGTCAAACATTATCAGAATCCTTAGTTTCCCATGTTTTCTTCTTTTCTTAAAGGTGAAGCTTCTATACTAGCTACCTTCTTTATAACAGAAGGGAAGAAAAAAGTTCCTGTTGCTGGTTGCAGAGTCCAAAAGGGACAATTGGAGAAACAAAAAAAATTTAAATTAATCCGTAATGGACATGTCATTTGGAAGGGTAAGCATTATCACTGTTTTTTGCTTTGTGCTGCTGGAGATGGAATTCAGGGCCTCACACTTTTTGTGCTTTACCACTGAAACCACAGCTCCACACCTTTTACCATTGGCTATTTTCTAGGTATGGTCTGGAGTTGTGCCCTGGCCAGCCTGGACTTCGACCTGTATGCTTACCGTATTACTGCGAAAACTAGCCATCTTACCCAGGCATTGTATTGAGGTGGAGTCTGGAGCCCTACTGGCCTGTGATCCAATCTTAGTCATCCAAATAGCATTATAGGTCCGAGCTACTGAGCCCAGCATCAGTCTACTATAATACATCATCGCCAAACCGATTGTGTGTAGCCGTCTGAAATCCATTCCTCTTTCCCACATAATCCTAGACTGCTTCTAATTTTTTTTGGGGGGGGTCCAGTCGTGGGGCCTGAACTCTGTCCCTCAGCTCTTCAGCTCAAGGCTAGCGCTCTACCACTTTAGCCACAGCGCCACTTCCGGCTTTTTTTCTTTTTGCTTATATGGTGCTGAGGAATCGAACCCAGGGCCTCAGGCATGCAAGGCAAGCGCTCTACCACTGAGCCACCTTCCCAGCCCTAATTTTTAACTCTCCTATTTCCCAAGTTTCCCTGCAATGAGCCAAACATTTGCAGTCTTATTTTTTTCAATGGGAAATTTATCTTCTGCTACAATTTGTCTTTAAACTTATGATTTTTAAAATTTTGTGTATTTAATACCATGCTTCATTTTTAATAAGGAGTTATTTGAATGTACTGTTTTTCTTTTTTTAAAGGATCATTAACCTCACTGAAACACCATAAAGATGACACTTCAGTCATCAAAACCGGGATGGACTGTGGCCTCAGTTTAGATGAAGAAAAAGTAGAATTTAAAGTGGGAGATGAAATAATTTGTTATGAAGAAAAGCAAGTTCCAGCTAAGACTTCCTGGGATCCAGGATTTTAAATTTACATTAAAATTATCAATGCTAAAATGTCCTTTTCTATATAGTAAACTTGGTGGCTCTTACATGGGCCATTCATTTTGATTAAAGGTTGAAAACCTATTGTTTTATACTGTTAAAACATTTTAGCCGGGTGTGGCTCATGCATGTAATCCTAGTTACTCAGGGAGTTGACATCTGAGGATCACAGTTCAAAGCCAGACCAGGCAGGAAAGCCTGTGAGACTCTTATCTCCAATAAACCACTCAGAAAACCAGAAGTAGTGCTGTGGCTCAAGTGGTAGAGTGCTTGCCTTGAGCTGAAGAGCTGAGGGATAGCGCCCAGATCGAGAGTTCAAGCCCCACAACCGACAAATACTTAGGACTGCCTAAAAATTACAGAAACAGGAAATCTCAAGGATGCCTCTACCTACAAATACTAGGGCAAAAAGACCAACCATCTGCCAGAAAGTTTCATACTATCCTAGCTTAAAATCCTGAGTTCACATTTTAATGTTGACCTGTAATTTTCTCTTAAAAACAAAATGCTGAGACTAGATGTGTATTTCCAAGTTAGCAATTTAGATCCAAGATTATAAACTTGTCACAAAGCAAAGCGCAATCTCTCATAAGGAACTATCTGACTGAAAATCATCTGTACTCCCTGAAGTGACAGAAATAAAAACTGGGTTATATTTATGGACAGCTGACATTAAAATATATATCCAACTTTACACCACCACTCTACTTTCTAATAAGTGAAAACATGTCCTTTCTGAACATGTCAGGGGTATCTACAATCACTGGGTCACAATCCCAACAGGTCATATTCACATGACAGCAGTGGTCATCAAAGGCATTATCAAAGGAAATGATGTGACAGCCAATTTGATGCCAAACCATTAAGTATTCAATAAAACACAAATGTTAGATTATGCCTTTTATTACTTCATACACAATCACTTGTCTTCTGGCTTGTTGAAACAGTAAGTGAGACAACACTTGCCACAGTAATGCCTGTCAAAGTGGCTAGCCATAAAAACCCCAGCACCACATTCATCTGAAGGGCACTCTCGACGAAGACGGCTAATTTTGCCATTTTCATCCACCTGAAAAACACAAAATTTCTTGTAGGAGAATTGTACAAAACATTGTGAAACTTGGCTTAAAGACTTTTAACTCACATCTTGTAAGTGAAAACCATTGTAAGTGAAAACCATTGTAAGTGAAAACCATTGTAACCATAAATTTCTGGAGCCTGAGATCTAAGGATTGCGGTTCAAAGCCAGCCCAGCCAGGAAAGTCTGTGAGACTGATCTCGAATTGACCACCAGAAAACCGGAAGTGGCACTGTGGCTAAAGTGGTAGAATGCTGGTCTTGAGAAGAGCTCAGGGAGTGTTCAGGCCCAAAGTTCAAGCTCCCGACTGCCTCCCCCCTCCTGCCAAAAGTTCTTATAGCTAGAGACTGTAGACACTAACTGTATTTCCAAGTGGTAAATAGAAGCAAAAACCTAAACTCAGAACTTTTGCATGGAAGAATTAAGCAAAATCCTATTATGTAAGCATACTTAAATACCAAATAGGAAAAAATAGAGAACTTGAAAATCTCCTTTCCATGACACTGAATAGAAAAAAAAGTTGTAATGTAGTTCCAACCATCTCACAACCAAAATGTTTATGCTATTATCAGGGCCACTTCCAAATAAAACATTAACTTTGCAGGCCTTCTACACTTTGTTTGACATCCACTCACCTTGTAGTATTTCAGGACAGCCAATTTAACCTTCTTTCTCTTATGCTTGTTCTTCTTAGGAGTGGTGTAAGACTTCTTCTTCCTTTTCTTAGCACCACCCCGAAGTCTCAATACTAGATGAAGAGTGGACTCCTGTTAATGAAACAGGGAATGAGCCAGGCACTTATTATTGGATTAGTGAATCTATAATAGGACTGCTTAAGATTTTGAGATAACAAACCTTTTGGATGTTGTAGTCGGATAAAGTTCGTCCATCTTCCAGCTGCTTACCAGCAAAGATCAATCTTTGCTGATCAGGTGGAATTCCTAATTAAGAAAATTTCAGCAGAACAAGTTATTCACTCTAGATTTACAAAGCAACGATCCTAAATAGTATAAAATTACAAGAAAACATATTTCTCATTGTCACTCTGACCTTCCACCCTACTGAGACTTGGCTCCACAGGTTAATATTACTGGAAACAAAACATTACTTGCCTTCCTTATCCTGGATCTTGGCCTTTACATTTTCTATAGTATCCGAGGGTTCAACCTACGGAGTTTTAAAGACAAAAGTATATTGGTTGCAGCTAAGAAACAAGGATCGCGACGGACACGGAACCAAAGCCGGGAGGAGATGCTCCCCGCGGAAGCCCCTCCAAGAACCTTCCTCCCCAGCGCAGGGCGGGCGGCGCGGGGCCTCGTGCGCGCGCCCTCCGGCGCAGGCCCGGCTTCCCTGGGCTCGCACCGCTGGGGAGTGTGCAGGCCCAGCCCTCCCTCGCGTCCGCTCCCCTCCCAGGCCGGCCTGAGCAGCCTTCAGAACCCCCGTCCGGAGCGTGTTCGAAGGCCCGGCGGCGACGGTCCCCTCAGGCCTGGCCCCGACGTGCACGCGAGGACCTCGCTCGGGCTCGGCCTCCTCGCACCGCAAGGCCGTACCTCGAGTGTGATGGTTTTCCCCGTAAGGGTTTTGACGAAAATCTGCATCCTGGCGGCGGTCCCACCTGAAATGGAAGAAAAAGAGGAGACTGGCTAGCTGTGGGGACGCCGGGGAGGACGCCGCACGAGCCACCCTCCGGAGCCGACCCGGGAGCGCACGCTCACCGCTGATGGCGGATCGGAAAGGAAGAGCGCCGCGCCGCCTCACGGGGTTTCCTGTCTGAAGGTTCCGCCCCTTAGGCGGCCACGGCAAATGCCGGGCTGAAGCCGTGAAGGCTGTCTAACCGAGTGCCAGATTGTGTCGGGAACCTTGCTTCACTTCCCAAGTCTGTCGTCCTCAGAATGCTCTCGAAGTAGTACACATGAACACATTGTTAATGCCTTGTAAAGACTTCATACAGTCGACGTGGCTACCGGGTTCTTTCAAGGGAAGGCGGGGGGGGGGGGGGGGGGGGGGGGGGGGAATGGAGACTGGGAAACGTGAGGGAGAAAAGGCGAGTGTATTCTGGGAATTGTAGTTTTCCACTGCTTTCTTCTCTCTAGGACTACTAGTCCCAAGATGCAATTCATATGGGCTGCTTAGTTACGGTCTGTAAGCTTTGGAGTCGGTGTGGGGAGCGGGGGATTCAGGTGAGAGGGAAGGTTAAGGGTAAAATAGTGGATTCGGGAGTGAAACGAGGATAGAAATGCTGGGAGAAAAGGTTGCAGGGGGCAGGAAAAGAGCGAGGTGCCTCCAAAGTGGTGGTGTCGATTTAGCGAGGGGCTGCATGTCCACAAGCCCAGGACGCGCTCTGGGACTCTGGCAGAGAAATCTCCTGCTTTCCCTACCAAAGCTGCAAAATAGATTAAAACAAATTCCCCCAAAGGGAGTAAACATCTTTTATATGAATACTTGATTTAGGATTTTTAAACTTTAACTGTTTTTTTTTTTTGTTTGTTTCTCTCTTTCAGGCCTACCAAAGTGTTTGGCTTTGTTGCAAAAGGAGGTGGAAATCTTACTCTTCTCCGGTGACCAGTGTGTAGGACTTATGTCAGTTCAGGAAATTAATAAACATGCAGTTCTCCCCCCTATCCTTAGTAGAAGCGACAAGGAATTTTTGGAAAGTATGCAAAGATACATAATTACCGAAGCTGAAAAGGTGGGCTGTAATGAGGAAGGACCTGCTGATGAATACTACATCATTTACCGAAATGTGTTTGATAAGGTATAATGTTTTTAGTTTTCACAGGGTAGAAACGATCTATGTTTAGCACCTGACACCCTTGCCTTGGTAATTAATACCACTGCTTGTTTGGCCATATTCTATTTGTCATTTTGACAAATTTTGACCTGTTTTTCAGGAAGGCATGGAGATTGCCGGACTTATATTTCCTAGCTATTAATGAGGGTTTATTATCAGTTATATTAGTTTAGCTGATCAACGTTTCTGATCAACAGCTTGCTCTCTGATAATCATTTTGACCCATCTTAAGGGGTTCTCTAATTTATTAGGTTGTAAACAAGAACCTGGTAGTTCCTAATTTTGGGGGTTTGTTTGTGGTACCACTAAAATCTTAGTTTAGGGTTGGGGATTTAGCTCAGTGAGGATGGCCCTGAGTTCAGTCCTCAGCTCTACAAAATAAAAGAAAACTCAAAACCAACTAAAATCTTGGTTTGAATTTGATTTAGCATATTAAATTGAGACCTAGAGCCATATGGGGTGGCGTATGCCTGTAGTCATAGCTGTTAGGGAGTCTGAAACTGGAAGATCCCTTATGGCCAAGAGTTGGAGGCTACCATGGGCAATTCTATGATATAAATAAGTAAATAAATAAATAAATATGGTAGAATAAGGGATCTGATGAAACTTAACATTAAGGATAATGGAAATAGATTAGAAAATATTATGTAACTTTTCATAACAAACTTGATTTTACCTTTTGTGACTATAAATAATTATTTCCTCTCATAAAAATTGCAGTTTTCTCATTTATCCTACCATTTGCCTAGCTTTCATTTTTTTACACCTGCCCAGAAGATTCCCTGACAATATATAAATGACATTAGTATCTTTTCCTTTTTTGGGGGGGAAGGGTCCAGTCGTGGGGTCTGAACTCTGGGCCTGGGCACTGTTCCTCAGCTTTTCAGCTCAAGGCTAGTGCTCTACCACTTGAGCCACAACGCCACTTCTGGCTTTTATTCTTTTTGCTTATGTGGTGCTGAGGAATCGAACCCAGGGCCTCATGCATGCAAGGCAAGTGCTCTACCACTGAGCCACCTTCCTAGCCCAGTATCTTTTCCTTTTTGCACAGATGAAGTACTTACCTGAAGACTTCAGTAAACTATTGGTCTTTGAGCAAAACAGCCATAGACTGACTCAGTTCTTTGCTTCATTGTCAAAATATTATATATTATGAGTCTGACTTTTTTCTAAATAAAAGCTTTGTGGCTCATGCCTCTAATCCTAGCTACTCAGGAGGCTGAGAGTTGCGTATCACAGTTCGAAGCCAGCCCAGGAGAGAAAGCCCATGAGACTCTTATCTCTAATTAACCACCCAAAAAGCTGGAAGTAGAGCCCAAGTGGTAGAATTCTAGCCTTAACATAAAAGCTTAGGGACAGCACCAGGCCCTGAATCAAAGCCCCAAGACTGGCACAATAAAACAAACTTAGTGCCTTACTTCAAGGAAAAGTGAGCACAGAGTAGTAGTGATACTTATGTGTAAGAGTATAAACCAGTCTTTTCTTCCTCTTAAATCATCCAGAAGAGAAACCATCTTGTAGAATTGGTACATTGGCACATTTCCTTCATTTTATATGTTGTGACCAATTATACTGCTGTTTGTCTTAGTTATTAGAATATATTTTAAATAATGGTAGTATCTTGAGTATGTTTCATATCTATCATGCTGAGTCATGATGAATCTATGGAATTATAATGAACCTTCCCCCTTGTACTATTTATGCATGCTTATAAGAACAGTTTTAGAAAACAAGAATGCTAAGGTTTTGCTTGTGTGATATCAGCAAAGAAAAGTTTATATATATATATATATAAAGTTATATATATATATAGTCATATATATATATATATATATATATATATATATATATATATATATGACTTGCTTATCTTTGCATGCCTGAATGCTGCCACTTGATTTTCTTTTATTTTTGCTGGTCCTGAGGCTTGAACTCAGGGCCTAGGCACTGTCCCTGAGCTCTGTGCTCAAGGCTAACACTCTATCACTTGAGCCACAGCGCCACTTCTGGCTTTTTGTTTATGTGGTGCTGAGGAATGGAATCTAGGGCCTCATGCATGCAAGACAAGCACTCTACCACTGAGCTACATTCCCAGCCTGCCACTTGATTTTCTTACTGAAGAGCTGTCTGCTTTAAGTAAGAATAGCTAGTTATAGTTAAGTCACGTTGCAGTTGGTATTCGTACATTTAATTAAGAGAAAACACATGAAGTTAAATAAAAAGTATTTAATCTACTTGTATTTCCCATTCTGCCCTTTTCTCATCCTCTAAGATTTTGTACATTGCTTAATTGTAAATCATACATTTATCTGTATAATAATTCTATTCAGGAATGAGAATTATCTGAAATGGAAAACAATAATTTTAGAAAGGAGAAATTTTTCTTGTAGGTTTTTTATTTCCTCATTCGTTTTACACATTTGATTATTGATTTGATTTGATTTGATTGAATCTGATTTGATTGATTCAAATGATTTACTTCCTTTGACATTCTGTCTCTCTTGGAAGGATCTAGTTGACCAGAAAATAATAGGTCAACTTACATCTCTACCTACTTGAAACTGGAGAGCAAATACAAAATCGTGTCTTAAGTGATTTGACTTGAAGAATTACACCTGACTCAAAACAGAGAGGGCCTGAAACTAATATACTCAAAGTTGAGGTTACAATGTAGAGAGTCAAAGATATAGTAAACAAGAAAGGCCAAAACTAAAAGAGTGAGCTTCTACAGAAATCAATGTCTTATGGGGGCAACTAGATGGAGCTTTTGTGCTCCTGATAGCTTTACAAGTAAGTTGTACAAATGCATGCCATTCCTCTTCCATATAAAATCCATGTGAGTCTTACACTTCAATATTTGTAGAGGCCAAGAAGGAAATATAAAGAGTTAAATGGGCTGGCTATAAGGGAATAGTAGTAGAGACTGGCAAAATGAAGAACCAGTCCAGTATAATATTCTAGCTATTATTGCCATTAAAGAGTGGACATTGGTTCACCTCAGAATTTTCAAGGAATGCTAGAAATGTGGTTTAGGGGTAAAATTCCCTACAGTAATGTATTTTTGTGGTTCAGACTGAATTGCCAGCTGTATTCTACCTCCTGTGGTATCCAACTTTACATTCTTTTTGTTGTTGTTGTTGCCAGTCCTGGTACTTGAACTCAGGACCTGAGCACTATCCCTGAGCTTCTTTTGCACAAGGCTAGCACTCTACCACTTGAGCCACAACACCACTTCGGGCTTTTTCTGTTTATGTGGTACTGAGGAATCAAACCCAGGGCTTCATGCATGCTAGGCAAGCACTCTACCACTAAGCCATATTCCTAGCCCCACATTTGCATTCTCTAATGCATTTTCTGTTTCTTTTAGCAAACTGCCATGGACAAGGATCAGTTTGTATTAGCTCCCCATAAATCTGAGTTGTCTTGGCTTGTTGGAAGATATCATAGTGAAGTGAAGGATGGCTAGGAGCAGCACATTGCTTAGTATAAGACCAAAAAGCTGTGGCTTCTGTTTTATGAAAGTTTCCTGAATTGGGTGGATAGGGGTATAGCTCTGTAAAAACAAAGCAAAACAAAACAAAAAATATTCAGATGCTCTTTTTTTGGTACTTGCTGCTGATTAATAGTTTCCTAATATCCTTTTTGTGTGTACATATGCTGGTTCTGGGGCTTGAACTCAACCTATGCACTTTCCTTGAGTTTTTTTGCTCAAAGTGAGCACTCTACCACTTGAGCCACAGCTCCACTTCTGGCTCTTTGCTGCTTAACTGGAGATAAGAGTCTCACAGACTTTTCAGCTTGGCTGGCTTTTCTCAAACCAGGATCCTCAGATCTTATTGTCCCAAGCAGCTAGGCTTACGGTTGTATGCCAGTAGTGCCCAGCTCTTTCTATCATACTTTTTTGATAGATTCAGTGTTGTTGTTTTTTTTTTTTTTTTGGTCGAGGGGCTTGAACTCTGGGCTTGG